CTCTCTCTCTCTCTCTCTCTCTCTGTGTGTCTCTCTCTCTCTCTCTCTCTCTCTCTCTCTCTCTCTCTGTCTGTCTCCCTCTCTCTCTCTCGCATTTGCGCGTCCCTCTCTCGCGGGCTGCGCTCCCTCCCTTCTCCACCACCCAACCAAAGAGACGCCTCCATCATTTCCGTGGAATCCCTGTGAGAAATTATTAAATGCCATTTTTTTTTCTTAGTTAATCCAAGACAATTGGTTGGTTTGTTTTAAAAAAAACAAAACAAAAGCACCCCTATACCTCGCACCTAATGGGCACAGGCCCCCAGCCCCCACCAACACAAGCACCCTTCCTCAGCCTTCCTCTCCTCCCCCGCCTCCTCCTCTTCCTCCCCCTCAATTCTTCTCCTCTTCCTTCCACCCCCAACTCGACACAATGGTTTCCACGAAGGCAGAGGCAGAGGCGCTGAGCATGGAGGAACTCACCACGGAGCTGACCTCGCGAGGCTTGCCAACGGAAGGTCTCAAGGTCAGTTGGTTGCCTGGCCGCTGCTCTCTCCGCCACTCCCAATTTTGCTAGCCCAAACCAAAGCCCCGACTGCTCTGTGCTGTCTCTGGGGTGCGCAGCCTGTCCCCAGCGTAGAGAGGGGCGATGAGAGTAGCCCCACGCCCGAGCGCTGGCGGCGGCGTTGTGTTGGTGTGCCGGCTGTATGGATCGGGTGTGGAGTTGATTTGTGTGCCGATTTTCTGGGCTTGCTCGTGGGCCTTATTTCAGCAATCTAGCCGAAAACTCGCGTGAAAGATTCAGGTTGACTCCGTCTGTCGCAACAATCCTGATGTGGTGGAGGGGATCCTCAATCCACCCAGCAGTCATTGGGTCTAGGGCGGTACGGTTGACGTTGTTGCCTGGCGGCATCTGTTTGTGATTTTGTCACCTGCTGAGCGCGCGCGAAAATTGGAGGGGCGAGACGAGAGAGAGAAGTTGCAGAGCATCCGAGATCCTTGTACCACACCAGACCACCACGCCGAAACCCTGCGACGATCCACCCCGACTGTTGCCGTGTACCCTCCGCACCTCTGCTCGCCACCGATCCCTCGCCGGTTGGCTTGGTGACCGCTTACTGATCGATCGAAATCCTTGCCTTTTGGCGGGGCAGAAAAAAAAAAGCGGACCGACCGACTTTGGCGGCGAAAAAAAGCCTCACGGGGAAGCGATGGATGTGGTTTCCCACCGGCCTTCATATTCTAATCCCGCGATTGTGGGTGGGTGTGGCATGCTGTAGAATGCTCGCGGCGGCAACGATGTGCGCAGGTCTCACAGGACCGTAGCTTGATCGTCCCGTCGCGAGCTTGATTCTGATATCCTGCTTGGCTGTCGTATCCGAGACCAAGATTTTTTTCTGGGATTCATAAACAAATCGTCGCGGCAGCCTTCATCGATCTCTGCCTCTCACACACACATGCTTTGCCGCGGCGGCGCGCGAGAGAGAGGGAGAGTGTCTGAGGCGATCATCACTGCCTTCTCTGGTCCTTTCCTCGGCCCTCCCCCGCAGCTTTGCGAAAATATCGTGCGAGGTTCTGAAATACACCCTTTGTCGGCGCCCTTCGCTGCTGCTGCTGCCTTTTTTTTCAATTTTTTGCGAGAGCAGCAGCCCGCCATGCTTGAGGCTCTCCTGAAGCACCTCGAGACGGCGGCGACGAACGGAACGGCGGAGGCGCCCGCGGCGGAGAAGGCCACGGAGACAGCCGCCGAGGAGCCCAAGAAGGACGACGCAGCGACGCCGGCGGAAGTAAGTCGTTGTCGTGTCTACCTGTTGGTTTATTGACGTCTGTAGTCCTAAACCAAGTCTTCGATAACAATCGATTGTATTGTGTCTCAGTATGGATACATCTGAAAGGGAGAGATTTTAAACTTCGGCCCCCATCGCGCCGCCCGCAAGCGACCTCTTGGAACCTCTGTACAAGAATACTAAATTGCGCTTCTTCCCTCTGTTCAGAATTTGTTGCGTGGGTCTTGTGCGCGGGGGAGTGACAGGCGTGGATGTCGTTGGCTATTCAAAGTTTAATCGAATTGAGGTCGTGAATACAGACACACGTACCCACCTTTGACACTGCTGTATGTACGCACGGTTCTGTATCGGTATCGTCAGTTTTTTTTTTTTCACCACTTCCCCACCAGATAGATTTGCAGGACACACAAGATCGAACGGTGACGAGCTCCAGGGGCAGAATGGTCTTGCACACCGCTAAATCCACGGTCCAACCCAGACGTTTGGATTGTAAAATTGTACCTACTTGGTACGAATAAATGCATACACACAAAGTTTGGTCTATACGATGATCGCTGCCATGAATTCAGTCTACAGTATCCTTCGGAAGATTCGCTGCTACCGCTTGGGTGTAAAAGACTGGAGAGCTATATGCATACTGGTTCTTCCACCCGGGGACAGGGGACCTTGTGTCATCGCGACACCAAATGCCTTGATAGACAGCTTGACAGACTTGACAAAGACAACGAGCTGTCAAACCGACATCCTTGCGCTGCGTACATAATAGAAGCAACCGGTGGGTCCAGTCTTTCAGAAAATATGCATGAAATGTAACACAAGAGGTAGAAGTCTTCCCGTTCAAAATGTATTCACAGCAGCAGAAAGGGATGCGCTGAATTCTTCGCCGTGAGTGGAGGGAAGCCGAAGGAAGCTAGTGAGCGCGTCGTCATCGCTATCTCAACAGAAAACGCGCGCCGTTTCGTTCGTGTCTACCGTAGTAGGGTACAGACTTAACCCGTATTCACATGGAATAGAAAGATCCTAGACGTCACGGGGTAGGTACTCTTCACATTGTCCCGCACCTCTAGGAACCATTTCAACCATCTCCGGAGTCCCATAAATCAGGACTAAAATATTTTTTATTGAATGAAAAAAAGTTCTCTGGAGCAGAAGAACTTGGACTCCCAAGTACAGTAAGCCTTCGCTGACGTTATGTACTCATTTCTGATCTACAAGATTATTTTCTGTAGATACAGGTGGATTTGTTGTGCCATGAGAAAATAAAAAAACGTTGGGATGAAATTTTTCGAGTTCCAGCAGCGAGCGGCATTTTGTTACAACCCCCTTTTTTGGCTTTCGCTCGTTGGTTGCATGTTCTGTGTCGGGTATTCCAACAGCGGCGAGGGTTCACCGAGCACGATGTCCAAACGCGCACCCCATATTGCCTGTGGAGGAGTTTTTTCACGTGTTTCGCGTTAATGCAGCGTGACTTCAACTTTCCGGGCCCTCAAATCGTAGCGCGTTCCGCTTCCGGACATGCGCATAGAACGACCTCTGCTCGCGCCACCCATCTTATGCATGTACCTGTGGTGTAGGTTAATCTCGCTGGTAATGATGCGGCGAATCCAACTCCACGAAACATGCTGTAGATATGTAGATATCTAAAACCTTCAAAGGCAGCTGACTAACTAGGAGGCGTACCATGCTGTACTTCCATGTTTGTGTGAAACAACAGGCTCCGGCGGCGGAGTCCACGGCAGAGAAGACCGAGGAAGCCCCTGCCACCACCGAGGAAGCTGCCGCCGCACCGGCATCAGACGCCACCGTGACCCCCGCTGCCACGGAGGAGGCCGTCGTAACCACCCGGACGGTGGACGAGGTTTCGGGCGGGACCGAGGAGCCCGACGCCAAGAAGGCCAAGGTAATAACAATGATGATCATATTTATAATAGTAGACCATCGTATGCACAGTAGCGACAAGTGTTTGTTATTGTTTGACTGCGGTGCTCACTGGTGAATCGAAGTAGCCTCGACCGCACAACCGGCAGACTAATGGAGCGGGGTATCATATCGGGACTTCTTTGTGGCACTTGTATTGTGAATCCTCTTTTTTCGGTTTTGAGGGGGCGTTTTTTTTCTTGTAAAGAGACTAGGCGTAAGCTCTGCATAGAAGGCAACGGAGGGAAGACGATTCCGGATAATCAAGCCACGTTGGTTACAAGCGACTGGTCGTAAATATGACATTACTTCCGGGGTTCTTTGGTTTGCGCTCTTCGAGTTTTTGTCTGGCTGTCGGTGCTTGCTTGAGCTCCAAAGTGCTTCCGCCTGTGGGCTGCCCTTGGTTCGTTGTAGACGTCGACGTTGTTTCGGAATCTCCGACTATAGCTTAACTGTACGGTGTGACACAGAATATGACCAAAGGAAGATACGTCCGCATTCCGTTACAAGCCGTTTGATATGACCCCGCCTCTTGTCCAGCATTGACCCCTTCCCCCCAAAAACTATAAAACAAATCCTCTTGCCGTTTTTTGGACAGCAGGCGGATGCCCCGGAAGCGGCGGCCGAGCCTGCCAAGGTTGTCGAAACCGTGACCAAGGTTTCCGAAAGCGTGACGGAGGCTCCTGCTTCGGAGCCGGCCGCGGCCACCGCCGAGTAGAGCTTGACGACCGGGTGATCGTATCGGCTATGCTGGCTGTAGATGGTCTTCGGGAAACAGATGCGCTGTAAATTAGTGTTGGTGCTTTCTCCGTTTCACCCCGGGTGAGGTTGGGGAAGGGAAGGGGGGGCGCGGGAGGGGCGTGTAGCGAGGGTTATATTAGATCGGCCTCCGGCCCCCCGTGTTATTGTTCGTTTACAGAGCCGCTGTTTGCAAAACTCGCCGGCACATTTCTTTCTGAATTTCGTTTGTCTTATGTTGGCCGCGACGGCCTTGACCGACCCCGCTCGTAGTGTGATTAGAAACTAGGGGCCCCGGGGTGTCTGTCACGTCTTGCTGACGGCCCCATGGGGCGAGCATTTGGGGCTGCAGAATATCCCACCTGTTTCTTGCATGATGAGCATGCATAGGCGGTGTCGTTTGTGCTCCTGCCCCTCGGACAGTTGTGCATACAACTGCCGTGGCGAGAGCGGGGGAGATTGTGAAGCGCCACGTGAAGGATTGCTGCTGCTGTCGCCTAGGTCGTGAGTGGGTTGTGGCGAAGAGGGAAGAAGGCTGTGTTGGCGAGCAGTCTGCCTGCTCTTCCTATGCGAGGCGAGAGCGCCTTGTTTCCTTGTCGTTCAGGAACGGAGCGCAAGCGCATGTACGTACAAAGCTTGTGTGCAGTTGGAAACACGGTCGATCTGGTTGATTTGTGGATATCTCTAGTACAGGTACATACATGCGACGGAGGGTACACGGCAAAGTCTCTTTAACTAGGATATTGGGTTCCGAGAACCCGCTGTGTTTTAGAGTGGATGATGTTGAATTTCTGTTGGATCTCGAGCTTCTCCATGAAATAGTGAACCTCTCTCTTGAGCCCTTCTCGTTGCATTTCGATCGTGGTTGATGGCGTTCTTCGCAATCAGGAACGGCAGCGAGGGTGTTGCAACGGATAGAATTGCAGTGTTTTGTCGATTCGTCGAGTTATTTTGATAGTTTTTTTCGTTCAAGTGTTTTCTTGTTGCCGAACACGTCGAGAGGCCCTTCTTCCAGCCGTACGCAGCTGTGTTGGCCTCTCGTTTCGTTTACGAGGCGTCCGCTTCCTGCACTGTCGAACGCCAATCAATCAGCGTGCTGGTTGCTCTTTATGGTTGACGCCTTGCAATATGCGTTTGTAGTACTGCTGTAGGATCCAGTCCAAGAGTTTGTAGTATGGCTGTACCGGACAACATCAATCATTGAACAGACACCATATTTTTGCAACCTTGTGGATTCCCTCCAACGGTAGTATCCTTGCTTCGGCGCGCTCGAAAGCGGGCGGCTCTCACTCGCTCGCGCAAGTCTCTTTTGAAACACGTCTATTTTCTCGGCATCGTGGATGATCGCGCGAGCATGGTTTTCCGGAAAATAATAGCCGTGCACGCGAGGTCCGTCGCGTTATCAATGTGTTTGCTCTCGTGTACTGGTAGCCGTGCACGCATCGTTGCGTTGACGCGTCCAACCCACATTGATTCTGTACCACCTACTTACCATTCGCGTCCTTCTCGTACCCTACATTGCGAGGCCCAGGAACGAGCACGTAACATGTACCATTTATTTTTGTGTGGCCGGTGCCCAGGTCCATGGATGGGCCACAGCCGACAACGAAGAACCAAGATAAGAACTCGTGTAACATGTCTTTGTCCCATTTTATCCTGGGCGGCCAGTCGACCAAACTGTTTCGGCGCGGTTAGGACGCCGCCACAGACAACCGCGGTTACACAAGATATGGATCGGAAACCGACATTAGACTCGTGCTTGGTCCTCGATCTTTTTCTTCGTCTTGTGGTGCTTGCCGTCGGATTCTTCCGCGAGGAGGGTACAGGTAGAGTGTCTCGTCTTCTGGCACTCGATCACTTAGCAATCTAGGTTGAAGCCACAGGAGGTTCACGAGGTTCCCAACTGAACGCCACCCAGGACAACAAACGGACCTGTCCGTCGTGCGTTGGGCAGAAAATACGACGGTCGAATCAAAGAAAGGAAGAAGCGCCGACGCTTACTTCCATTCCAACAACTAACATTTGGCCTGTTTTTATTTAAGGCGGCAGTAGTATTATCATGCCGTTACGCTCCCCACTCCAGCGGTTTCCGCCCTGTCGGTGTCCCCCCTTCGCTGTGAGAACGTACATGTACATTTTTTTTGTTTTTCTCCCATAATCGGATTCTGTCGTCCACCCCTCTGGCCCCTATCCTCCACTTCTACTAGCTAGACGACCCAACTGGGGTCACATAGGCCGGGGGGACTGGACCCCCTCGCGCGGTTCCTGCCTGAGGTATTTTTATCGCGAGAAGGGTACAGCAATCCCTTCCCTCTCGACTTACGAAGTCGATTATGGTTTTGATAGTCTACTAACAACGAGCTTTGCAACGCGTCGCTTTCATCCTAGACCAGGATTTATTAAGTGAGAAAAAACGCACTCTGCCGGGACTCCAACCCATGACCTGGCCCTTAGCAGGCTGCGAGGTTACCCACTAGACCACCGGGGTGTACCCTCCCCGTTGGCGGGAGGACAATCGATTGATATTCACTGACTGATAGCTCGATCCCGCTACTGCTGTGCTGTGCTAACAACCTCCATCACTGTTGCAGCAACGTAGCAGAGGCGACAGCATGGATTCCCTTCTATATCCCTGCTTGGCCTTGGGCCAGTCCACAGATTTAGTTCCGCGTGTCATCCACTCGCACAGAAGGGCCCTCAACAGGCGACAGACGTTGATGAACTGCTTCGTAAAATTGGTGGTGATGCCGACGTCCGTCATCAAACCTGTGAAACCGAAAAACATCCAAAAACCGGGGTGTTTGAAAATGTCCCCGGTATTTTCGCGCGCGAAGCACGCCTCCCTGAAAGAGGACACGAAACAAGGCAACCGATAGACGCGAACACGAAGACGCGTTTGCCGACAGCGCCTCTTTGCTATCTATACCCCACAGCGCTTCTAGCACGCAGTGCATCTTGCCTGATCCTGAGAGACACGCGCGTTGTCCTCCGCTCCCTGATCGGCAAAAAAAGGCGAAAACAGGAGAGAAAAAGAGAGAGAGATGGAGCTCACACCTCAGAAGGCGAAGTCCCTTACCGTGGCCAAGCTCAGAGAAGAGCTGACCGAGCGGGGCCTGGCCTCAGACGGACTTAAGGTGCGACCTAGTCTTCTGATAAGCTTCGAGAGCGCGGCGAGGCGTTCTGAGGGGGGGGGCATTGCTGCTGTGCACCAATGTGAACAGAGAGAAGAGAGAGTGGTGTTCCATCCCTCCTCCCTCTTCCGCCCACGCGTGGTTCTGCCGCTCCACTGGGCGCCGGTTACGGGCGGGATCGGACATACGAAGTAGGGTCTAGGATGGTACCGACTCGCTGATCCTACTGCGCTCTGCTTGTCGTCAGTGGGTTTGGCTCTGGTGATTGATGCACGAAGTAGTCGTCGTGTTTTTACCCCGTTGTGTCGCCGCCGCCGCCGTTGGCGCGCAAAAGCACTTGAAGATAGAGCGGAACACGGTTGTCTTGGAATTTGAAAGGGGCCCTGTGGCCAGTGTGTGTGTGTGTGTTTTTAATTTTTAGCTTCGACCGCGCTGACCGGCTGACCAATGAAAAGACGTCAGTCTTAGTGCGGTTGAAAACACAAAACACTTCTATCTACCAGGAACTGGGACCCCGTGTGTGTGTGTTTTCGTCCTATTAATTATGGCGACAGTCCCCCCATTTTTCGTGGTGAGACGTGTACTACACTTTTCAGCGTATGTAGAACTACACTTTTCAGTGTATATTTTCGTACAACTACATCCAGGGTCACAGAGGAGGGGGTAAACACTGGGGCATTTTTTCTTTTTATTTCTTTTCATACCTCACCTTCCTCCTGCGTGCTGAAGTTTGTTTTTATCGCGAGAAGGGTCTAGCCGTCTCTTTCCCTCGTCAACGGTGCTAACGTCGAAGTTTGCTACTCACGAGAGCTTTTTAGCGAAATTTCGCTTTCACCCGCAAATTTCGTAAATTTTTCACCCCATGGGGATCCGAACTCACGACCTCTGCGACTAGCGGATTTCGAGGATACTACTAGACCACCGTGGCGACCGGGGGCGTTGAGGTTGGAGGAGGCCGCAACATCACCATCTCTGGCCTCTCTGTCACCTGGCTTTTCAAATAACACTCGTGAAGACATCTGGAACACCCTCAGAGAGTAACATCGAATCACATTACGTGCTTTGCTTGTCTTACTTTTGCGGGACAGCTGAGGTACACTGTACGTGCTGACGTCAGGCGTTACTTCGGTTAGTAACAGAGCGGTTATACGGCGGAATTCAATAGACCCTTGCTGAGCAGACACATGCTGAGCATGCCCACACGTACACGCTTAATCTGCTCCATAAACTGCTGCTTGCTGCGGCGGCGCAGCTCTGGTAGTCGTTCTTGCTAGCATACGAGAAGGCTGATCAAGCAGCTGGGGTACCTCGCTCTGGCTTGCTTGTCCTTAGACGGTCTCTGCAGATCGCCTGCCGGGTCCCTGATCGCTGTCCCGTGTTGTCGTGTCCCTACGATTTCGACCCGCAAGCCCGCCGAAAGCATTCCCCGCTTGAGCTTGCGTTCACTGTGTGTAGGCCTTCGCGTTGACGGCGAGGGCGAGGTGGGAGTCGAACATTTATTTTTTCGTCCCGTATCTTTCACGTTGCGCGTTGTGTGCGCCCCGCCCCGCCTGTGTGTGCCGCGCCTTGTCGCCTCCTTCCTCGTGCTTGTGCATCTCCCGGGCATGGAACGCGGAATACATCCCTACCAGGCGGTTCTGGTGGAGAGGCTTGTCTCGCACATCCAGAGCGAAGCAGAGACGAAGGGTCCAGAAGAAGAGGAGGAGCCTGCCGAGGTATTGTCTATCCACCGTATACTTGTGTAAGAGACGTACTGCTTGTATTCGGCGCCAGGCGCGAGCGCCACCCGCCCCCCCCCCACGGCTTGTTGCGCCTCGCGATTCCCTGAGGGAAGGTGGGGGGGTGTACTCATAGTCGTGCATGCCGTAGTCGTTAGACCATTGACTTCGCATCCCGACGAAGCCGGGACGGAGCACGCCGGGTTCTCACCGGACCAGGCTCTCACATCACCAAGCGCGAAGCGCCGTGATTCGCATGAAGGTTGCGCTGCATCCTGCTAAGGGTGTTCGGCATCTTGTGCTTACTTCCTTGCGTAAGGATGACAGCTGCGTATGACTTAATTTATTTTCTGGTGCTTTCACTTCCTGAGACAGTTGTAAAGCACTGTGTAGCTACCTCGAGGGTGCTTGACCATTAGAACACAACGTGGTGCGATCATCCCCCTTGCGCGGAGTGAGGCTTCTCGAGCCCGCACAATACGATCCACACGACCACCATTATGGTTACCGCCAAAAAAATGACGGAGGTAAAAAACAACGGTAACCTGGTTGCCGAGTTCACGAAGTGAATTAGCTTGTTTTACAACGTCGTTGCCAAGCGACGAAAACCCAACCCCGATGGCAAACACCGGGGGGGAGATAAAGGAGGGTGGGGGGATAAATAGCTACTGATTTCGTCGACGCACCGGTCAAGGACACGCGTGCCTTGAAGAACACCCCCCGCTTTTTTCGGTCCTGCGGCACTTGCACGCTCGTCTCCAAGTCGGCTGTGGAAATGGTGGTGGTGAATGCGCTGAGTAAGCGAATTTTTTTTTTAACCTCCTGTGTAACTCGAATTTTTTTCTGCCACCCCCCCCCCACCCCCATCCCCAACGCTGTGCTTGTACCACACAGCCCGCGGAGGCGGTGGGAGAGGCGGACGTGGGAAACGGCGAACCGGCGGAAACCGAGGCCGAAGCGGCGCCAGAGGCGGAGGCTGAACCGGCAGCGGAACCTGAAACTGAAACAGCGACGCCGGCGGCGGAGGAGCCTGAGGCCGAAGCGGCGGCGGCAGAACCGGAGGCCGAAGCGGCCGCGGCAGAACCGGAGGCCGAAGCGGCGGCTGCAGAACCGGAGGCCGAAGAGGCGGCGGCGGAACCCGAGGCCGAAGAGGCGGCGGCGGAACCCGAGGCCGAAGCGGCAGCAGCGGAAACCGAGGCCGAAGCGGCGGCGGCGGAACCCGAGGCTGAAGCGGCCGCGGCGGAACCTGACACCGAGACAGCGGCGGCTGAGTCTGAGCCTAAGCCTGAGGCTGACGCTGCCGCGGCGGCTGAAGAGAAACCTGAAGAGGCAGCGAACGAGGAGGAGCCGGCAAAACCAGCGGAGGAAGGAGACGCGGCGGAACCTGCTGATGCCGATGCTGCTGCCACCGTGGGCGACGAGGGTGACGAGCCCCCGACTAAGAAGGCCAAGGTGGGTGAACCGCTGCAAAGGCAGCAGCTATACGTTTCCCATGCGGCTGTTGCAGGCCGCCGCAGAGCCAATGCCGCATGA